TGTCTTGTTAATAGTTTTACTATGCTATAACTTTTAAATTAGTAAGTCAAACAACGAATGAAAGTTTAGGTCAGATTATCAGAAAACATTATATACAAAATTTTATATATTTTATATGCAAAATATCATTTTTTTACCAAGTCTTATGGTTTTTAAAGCAATGTTTTTCTCATGTCTTTTTTTTCTTTTTGCACATTGCCTATCTATCATGTAAAGTTATATTAATTTTAATATTAAAAATACTTTTATATATCAGAAAATTTTGAAATTTTACATGCAAAATCTTTATAATGTCCAGATAGTTATAAAATGTTTCTTAAGAAAAAACTTTATAATTTATCTGTTATTTTCAGTAATTAATCTCTGTACGGATTTGGTAGATTTGACTGATCTTGCAACCACAATAAAAAATTAGGAAATAAATATAAATTATGCCTCTTTCATTCTAGAATGAACACAAATTATAATACAAAAACATAAATGTTTTGACTAAATAGCTTAAATCTCATAACATTATACATTTATTATTATTATATTGACCTTTCAGCCATGCCTGGCTAACAATACAGAAGTTACAATGACAAGGCTCGCATTCACTCATGTTACCATATCAAATAACATAAAACTGACCTTTTGTCTGTACAAAGTAACTTGTCTTGGCTTTGTTTTAGTAGACTAGTATTTTGAAAAATACAGTCACATTTAAATTATTATACATTATATTTGTTTATAGATTATTGCTATTTTGAAATAAGTTCTTAATGCATTTTTCTTAAAACATAGAACAGTAACTAAAGAAGTAAAGCAAACAATTATCTCTTCTAGCTGCTTCTTTGTACTCGGTTGCTGCACATGGAGGAGCAACCGAGTACAAAGAACTACTGAACTCTTGTTGATGACAATAAACATATTACTTTGTGACATTTACAAAAAAAATTAAATAAAGTTAATTCCATAAAAAAACCTTACAAATTAAAAATTAAAAAACAGTTTAGTTTCAGCTATAGGCCTGTATCAGGTGTTAGTTGAATACATTTTTCACTGTTGGAAATAAAAGTATTTCTCAAAACACATGTAAAAATCAATACATGAGAATTAACCAACAATTCTAATGTCAAAGGGAAAATTAAAATAAATACCAGGGCTCACCAGTTGGAGTACTTATTTTAAACATTTTTCACACATATAAAATAATTATTAACTGTAAAATCTTTGTTACTGATGTTTGAAATAATTACTTCATTTAGCCAGCTTTGGTATTTATTTTATTTCTTCTATGGACATCAAGTTTGTTGGTCAAATTTTGTGTATTCTTCCAACAATGAAAGACATATTCAATTAATTGCCATCTCATGTAAGCCTACAGCCAAAACTAGTAGTTTTTTTAATATTTTATTTGTGAGGTCCTTGTAATGGAATAGTTTACTACATTCATAAAAAAAGTTGTTTGAAAACGTCTTAAGTACTCTCAGGCCAATAATATGTTGTATAAATACTGTTGTGCTTTATAATATTGATTAAATGTAAAAAAAAAACAAAAAAACAACTAAATATAACAGTGACTGGTCAGATGAACTAGTTAATGAACAATTCAGTAAAGTATAAAATATTATAGTATCATACAGTTGACATACAACTTTTCACACAAGTTCCCTTCCTCAAGTAAAGTCACTAATTAGTAGAACTGGATGATAAAAAATATTTGATAATTCATTATTTGAAGACCCCATTAACTCTACATGCATGAGGTTGGTCCATTGGACTGAGTCCATATAAGAGAATTAATGTTTACTATAAATTCTATAATTCCAAATTTACATATTATATCTTCACAAAATTTGATAAGCTTTTAGTAAACATTACAAGTATTTTGTACACAAAGATTAGAAACTTTAATAAAGTATTTCTACTATAGATTTGCCTCTGAGTTTACTTTATAGGAAAGTCTGACTCAGACTCTGACTAATCTGAGTGCAAGGTGATTTTCACATTAAAATAAAAATACTTTTTCACCTTACCATTTTTATATTTTATTTATAAAACTTCCTAAATGAATATCAAAAGTTTTCAGTAAAACTTTATATTTCACATTATTATCTGTATTCTAACACTATATGGTCTTTGTTGATTTGACTGACTTTGTAACCACCACCACAAAAAAATAAAATAAATCTAAATTATCATTTCTTCTTTCTAGAATGACTGAATTGTAAGAGAAAGTTAGTTATTTATCCTAAACAGCCTGAGGCTCATAACAGTTTACATGTTTTATTTAATTTTATCTTGCTGTTTGAACTATGTCAAACTACTTAATGAGCAAGTACTCAAGCTACAGTAAATAAAATACTGAATTATTTAACGCATGCGCATACCACACTGAGAAATTATATTTAATTTTTTCTTTAAATTAATGTTTTCTTCTTTAACCTAATGAGTTTCTCCTTTTTGCATTTTAGTTACTTTTATAACAATAAATAAAAAATACACATAAAATACAACAAACTTAGTATGTGGATCTTGTAATTCTTCGGACTCAATCTTGATAAAAGTTAAACCTACTTTTTGGTACAATTGTTGTTGGTATTTTACTGAATTATTTATTTATGTTGAATATTAACCTTAGAACACAAAATAACAACACACGCAAAGAATACAATGTCCTGTAATTATTATAATTTATTGGCTTTCTAACTAAGCAATAAGTGCATTAATATAATTCCCTTACCATGGTGGAGGTGGATTTCTCAATAACAGCTTTGAATCTACAGACTGAATAATTCAAAAGCTATCATCAGAACGACCTAGCATTATAAATAATTTAGTAAATTAAAATCTTCTCTTTCTATTGGTTATAAATAACATTAAAGAATAAGTCAGAGAGAATTACTAATACTTCTTGAAAGACGGTATGTGATAGTAGGACTGGGTACGAGGCTTTTCCTGGTTTATATTTCTGTAAATCAAGGTGATTAGAGGCAATAAGATTGGATTATATCTCAACAATATCTATACTGTAAATATGTAATTTGTATTAAAATTCAGAAATTGAAATAAGAGTGAAAAAATGTTTAATTGAGAAACTTGGAATGGACAAGTGTCACGTGATACATGGAAGATGCAGAATTTAAATTTGAAATTATGAGAATTAAAACATTTATAATATTAACACTAAATTACACAGTATGTTTTGACACTAGGTTCATCGACATACAATGATGATAAAACTGTTTAATTAAATTTTGAATGTAAGGATGTCTAAAAGTTGTGCCATGCATACACACAAACATAAGGTCAAAGAGTACAGTTATGCAATTATAAATTAGAAATGTTACACAATAGAAAAGAAAAGGACATTTACATTTTATTTAAAACAAAAGTAGTCCAATAGTTGGCACATGGTGTTGCCAGCCCATTGCCTTTCCTCTTGTCAACAGTACAAAATTAGTAGTTCAGCTTCAGTAGTTTTGCAACACCAAAGGAACAAACACAATGCCCCCACAATTGATAGGGCAAGCAAGTTTAGTAGCAATGACACTAATTGAATATTTTACAGTAGTTTTGCAACACCAAAGGAACAAACACAATGCCCCCACAATTGATAGGGCAAGCAAGTTTAGTAGCAATGACACTAATTGAATATTTTACAGTAGTTTTGCAACACCAAAGGAACAAACACAATGCCCCCACAATTGATAGGGCAAGCAAGTTTAGTAGCAATGACACTAATTGAATATTTTACATGACACAAATTTATTTAATCGTAGTGTTTTTTTATAGTCTATTGTAATACATGCAAATAAAATAGGGCAAATAATTAAAAATACACCAAGAAATGGATTGCCAAATTGAATATCTTTTGAAACATGGAGAGCACCCAAGTTTTCTTGGGTAAATCATAGAAGGAGCAACATAAATAAAAAACTGGGGATAAAAAACCTGCAAATAGGGATCATAAAAAAAATGAACAAACAAGGCTGGAAATACTGTAGACATTATTTACTCCAACCACAAACCCTTATTTTGGCTCCATGATGCTACCTAGAATTACATTTGGTGGAGTCAAAATTGGGATTTGTAGTTTGAGTAAATAATGGCTACAGTATCTCCAGGCTTGTTTCCTTACCTTTTTTTATTATTCCTAATTGCAGGTTTTTAAATTTCCAATTTTTTTATTTATCTTGTGTGCAGGATTTTTTTATGCTCGTCTATGAACAAAAGATTATTTGATATGGTAGCTCACTTTATGCATTGTAATGACTATAAACATAGCTAGTAGCTAGCTGATATGGTTCATGATGATTTATTGTAGCTATTGACTATCTGATCACATTTGTTCGAGATGTATAATGTTAAGCTACAGCTGCAGCTGGAGAATTGTTTAACAATATAGTAACCATTTACAGTCTCTATTTAACTAAATTCTCTATATATAATGCTTAGCAACAGGCAAATATATGCCTAGAGTAAGACAACCCCCACTGAATGTGTATAAAAATTTAGTAGTAGAAGAGCAATCTTTTTAAATAAAACATACATGTCTAAAATATAATTTTAAATAAACCTTTGTGTCTTTTAAAGTAATTATTCTACAAATGTGTGTAATAAAATTTAATATGTGTAATGTTTTTTTTTACTCCTTCACTTCATACATAATATAGTGGTTGGTTCCCTAAAGACACCGATTGTATAGTGTATAAAGCATTGAGTACCTACATGTTAGTCATTTAATGGTCATTTACTACTGGCTGGTAATTCTTGTTTCACCCTGTACTTAATCTTTTTAAAGGAACACCAATATATGTAAAAAAGCTAACTTCAAGGGGTAATGTCACATTATTTACACTAAACTTATGATGTTTTTTAGCTATGACCTTCACAGTACCTCATTTAGTATTCTACAAAAAAATTGGGTGCAATATACCAAACCGTTTTTGTTGTAGGCTGGCAAGAGAATATTAATAAGAAAAATTACAAACGGGCTGTTTTTGGCAGGTTTTCTTTTTTTTGTAAATCTAACATGCATGTTTTTTTTTTATATGTGTACAGCCTTAGCAGTCAATAGTAAAGGTTTTAAAATTTTATTTGAACTATTTAATGTTCTTTTTGCCCAAACGTTCTATTAGAGTTTTGTGCAATTCCTTGCAATCCCTATTATGAACCACTATCATGGTTCATGATAAATACAACAATTTTTATAATAGATGTATCCACCAACAAATACACAATCCTGCCAGCAAAACTGTAACAAAACAATGTAAAATCATACGATTCATAACAAAAACATACTTTTGTCCATTGTACAGTTTGCAAGTTCCAACCTCCTAAATGCATATTTAAAGTTTTTTCAATAAACCTGTACATTGTATTTGGTATTTTCTCTACTCTAACATGAACTGTTGTAAAATTGGTAATGTAGTGTAATGAAAATTAACCAAATCTAATTAACTAAAATATAAATAAAAATTAATATAAGATTCCAATAGTAAAGAAAATTAAAACAATATATGACAAATACAACCCTAAACAATTAGTTATGAAATAAAACAATTCATGATTTACATAATAGCAATCAACAGTAATGCTTACATTTCAGGTCCCTCCTGGCTTCACTCAACTCTTGGAGAAGCTTTTTTATCTCTGGATAATTCATCTTCTCTGCATGAGATGGCTAGAAAAATGTAATTAAATCTTGGATGCTGCACATTGTGATTTTTAGTTTTCTGCTATATGATACAAAATTCAGTTTTACACATGTTGAAGCAGATTAATATCCAAGTGTATATATATATATATATATATATTTCACATGTCTAAACACCATTAAACAGTACAAAAATTAAAATGCCAACAATGGAGTAGAAAAAAGTTGCAAAGTGGGGTTGGCTTAGACATGTACATTTTACAATGAAAGATTGAAAATATAAGGCAGCTCAATCTAGGGGGTTCTGGGGGCATGCCAACCCAGAAAGTTAATATTATATAATTTAAATATAAGTCAAATATGTAAAAGTAGGGTGCTATAGCCCCCCCCCCCAGTTATGACACCCCTGCTAGACAAATGAATCCTAATTCAAAAAAAGAAAGTTACAATGTATTCAAATAAATATATTTTGAAAGTTTCTAAATTTAATAAATTATAAACCATCAATAAATTTAACTTTATCAAAATAATCAATAATAACAGCAGATATATGCAATACTTACCCTGAACCCATGTTCTGATTCAAATGTTTCTTCAAATTTTCTTATTTTCTTTTTCAACACTAGAAAAAAAAACTTCAGTCTTAAACCTGAGTTTTATTCCTAAAGGAAACAAAATAATAGAAAAGGAATGTACAAGGTAATTTAGAAACATCAGTTTACCCGAAACTTTTTTCTGTTCTTATGCCCCCACACCAAGAATCATGTCATATTAAGTCACAAAAAATGTCTGCGTTTTATAGTTATGTTAACAGAGCTTTGAAGATATGTACTAACCAAAATGATTTAAAAAACGAATTGTTATTAATTAAATATATAGCAGTCGAAAGAGGTTTTAACCCAGATCTTATAGATAGAGCAATTAAGAAATTCACTAATACTATAATAATAGTAACTTTGAGCTCTCTGGTACATTCTAGGCCATTTTGGAGCACTAAATATTCACATCATTTACTGCTAGGATGATCAGTAAACAATGGACTTTTGCCACTTTAACTCATGTTCCAATGATCAAAATTACAGACCAGTTAATATCAGTGTTGTAGGTCTCAAGACCACCCTTCAGAAGGTCTCAGTCTCGATGTTTCACAGGTTTAGAAAATGAGACTGGCTAAATATAAAAGTTTTAATACTATTAGATGAGTCACCTACCCAAGATTATTAAGTGGTTAATGATAATTACACAGCAGTTCACATGAAGCGTGGTGTAGCATCAAAGATGTTTTACTAGTAAAACCTCTTGGTACTACACTTTTGTGATGATGTTTATAATACCTCCCTTATTTTTGTTTACATCATCAATCACCATATTGCTTGTACACCAATCTGTGATTATAACACGTGTCATTCAAAACTAACTGCTACCATACATTGCATTACACAAAAGCTTACTACAAGTTTGTATGAACTTCGCCTGGTGCACATATTTATGTCATAGATTAGAGATTATCTCTAATGTTCAACATGTCTTGTAGATCTGCTGTGATCCTGTTTAGCTTCCAAGATCATAAAGAATTTACTAACACCAATAATGGTTTTATTTTTATTTTCTGACCTTTTGGATTTTTTTATTCATTCGTAAATTATTTTATGTTTTCCTTTTATTTATTTTTTTCATAGGAAGAGACATTAAAACAAGACTGTGGGGTTTAACATGTAAAAGATTTGTGGTTAAAATGTTAATAAAGTTTGTTAGATGCATGTAATTTTTATTCTTCTTGCTTTATTTTTCATTGTATAATTTAGTACAAGGTCTCTACTCCTAAGGTCTTGACTACAACACTGGTTAACATATACATTGGTCATTTCATGAAATATTTCTACATATACAACATGCAAGTGTTTTCAATTGCAATGATTAAACCAGTTAATTATAAACTGATTATTTCATTAAATATTGAAGCAATAACTGTACAAGTTCAATTTTCACTCGGGAAATTATTTACCAATTATTTACAATGAGTCTTTGACAAGGCAGATATGGAATACTATGTTAATTTTTGAAACTCTCTCTATTCTACTATTTTTTTGTTTTTAACCTTAAAGCATACTGATATATGCTAGAATTTGTATGCATTGTCATTGTTTAGTATACTTTGGATAATAAAGAGGCATTATAATGTAACAGCAGATAATGCATTAGATCAGTAAGAAACAAATGTTAGTTTTAGTTATTTTTATGTTTTTAAATTTGCTGAACAGAAAGTCTAACATGCACTTAAGTACAAAGATCTCCTACTATGTCATTAAATGAAAATAAAATAAAACTTTTCAGATTTTTTAATAGCAAGCAATTAAACATCTTAGCGTATGCTAAGCACTAATGTTATAAAATCAATGTAATATTTCATGAGAGCTATAAATTCTGTATTGTAATACATGATGTAAATGATAAGTTATAACACATGTATAACAGTTATTTGAGTATCTGTGACATTTAATGATTGTAACAAGTTTTCTTTTATAACGAAAAAGTCCTTATTTATTTGAGAATTTTACTGCATACTTCATCCTTCAGCTTTCATTGAATGATGTCTATTTCTGTCCTTTGTAATTCTAATAACAAAGGCAAATGGCACACACTACTAAGGTTTTATTTTTATTATCCACCCTTACACTTCAAGGAATTCATGCATTTCCAAGGCTTTCATATACCTTCAACTTCAAAATATGTTTTGCAATTGATCAGCTGTCTGCCACTCAGTTTTGGCTTACCATGAACAAAAGAAGCCAAGGTAAACTTGGACTGAGCCTACTACTAGTAGTATTTTGTCTCTGGATACAACATCCCCTATAATATTTTTATCACTGTATTTGAATAAATTGGATGGATGGCCAATTTGTCAATATAAATGGCAGGCAATTCTCTGCCCTAAATTTAGTGTTATTTTTTCCATGTCAGTGACAGGACTTCAGTGATTGTTAAGTATGTTAGTTTTGCTTTCAAAATGATTCATTTATTAATTTAGACAAGTTGAAAATTACTGTATTTAGAAAAAGGGGGAAAATTGAAGAAGAAAATAATTTTAATATGATGTTAAGTTTAAATAAAAAATGTGAACTAATGTATTGGGTAATACATGATTTACAGAAAAAAAAATTCATAAATAACTTTTTGGCTATTTAAGTGAAAATTTTGGGATGTTAAGGGATGTTCCAAAAATACATTTGGATAATTAAGACAAACATTCCATTCAAATTGTGACTGACACTCCTGCCATACCAATAAAGGTATCTTTAAATACAGTGCTTTTGGTGATAAACAAATCTATTAAAATATACCTACTACAATAAGACCATGAATCCTCCTTACTGAAAAGCACCAGATTAATCACCATCTGTCTTGAAATGTAGATCCTGATTGATAATGTCTTAACTTAATGTGTTTTTTCCTGAAATTTCATCATATAAAATATTAATCTTATCTAAATATTTTCTGCTCACTCCATATGCATGAAACCACCAGTTAGTTACACCAGGTTAAAGTTCATATCATCATCAGATTGACATACCAAGATGACGAGAAGTAGAATAAAATTTTTGTTTTAAAGATATTTATAGAGTACATACAAATTTTGGAATTTTAAGACTGCTGGATATATTGATTATGAATATAAATATTAGATAAATCGGCTTTTAAAACAAAATAATTAACATTACAGGATGTTAGTCTTAGGAAGTAATAATAAGATTTTGTATAGATATTGGATGATATAATATTAAAATTTTTAATAAGAATTTTCACATACAGTTTTTACCCAAATTAACATAGTAGGCCATTGTGTGCTAGGGATATTGAGTAGATTCAAAACTAAACTTTAACGTTTACACTTGGAGACAGCGTACAAATAGCAATGGATATATATAATTAGATCTGAAAGAAGAATGGCAGAGATTATGATAGGTAAAATCAAAGGAAGAAGAGCTAAAGCTGAGTAGAGACCAACTTGACTCAAGAACATTAAAATATAGATTGATGTTTAGAAACCTGAACTAGGAAAGACTGGTGCAGCCACGAGGAATGGAAAACCATAGTCATTGACTTTCAGAGTTGGGGAAGCACCATGATTGACTACATAAAACAGATGTTAGAGTGTGAAAGAAAAATGACTAACCTGTTTAAAATAATTAAGTATTGACTAAAAATTATTCAAATGTTGTAAAATGCACTGATAAAAGTCTTATATATAAAAAATAGTTGACTTGCTGGGCTGACATATTGGAAATTGAGTGAAAGAAAACTAGACATAAAAAATAAAAATAGAATAAAACTAAGCTTAGCAGGGTTCTAGTTAACTCAAACTTCTGGGTTCCATACACACAAAACTTTTTCAGGGCACATGAGGTTTGACCTTTAGTCTTTACAAAGCAACCTGTCTTGGTTGTGTTTTAGTAGAATAATTTTTGTAAAATACTGATTATTACTATTTAGAAATAAGTTCTTAAAACATAGAACAGTAAATAAAGAAGTAAAGCAAACAGTTATCTCTTATAGTTACGAACTTTGTACTCGGTTGCTGCTTGACTTAGGTTGCTAAGCCTTTTACAACTTCACACGTGGAGGATATGAAACAAATCAATTTTTTAAGGTTTTATATAGGTATATATATATATATACAGTTGAATAAACAAAAAATCATTAAATTACTATATCAATACCAAAGAATTCCACTATAATTTATAAAGATTAGTAACCAAGATGTATTTGGGTCTAACAAAATATGGAATTTTGAGCAGACTAAAGACACAACCTATCTCCAATATGGCATCCTAACACATGAAAAGGGCTAAGAAAGCCATTAGTGGGACATTCTGAGCTTCCTATTGGTTATTCATTTCATATATAGAAGTATATAAGGGAGTGTTTCCAAAAATGGAAAGAGGTGGGCAGGGTGCCACTATGTTTGATTTATTATGTGAGCAATATCTCAGCAAATAGAAAAGATAAGACCTTATTTTATATTGAAGCTTGTCAATACCTGTAATTTG